TAACTCCCTAGCTCTTTTTCTAATTTAATTATAATGACACTGTTCGATGCACCTCCCTATCTAAGACAACCACTTTTCTTTCGGTCAGCGGGTGGCCGCCTTAGAAATTTTATTGTGTCATGGTGCGGTGGCGGAGCGGTTAGTGCGCTCGTCTCCGAAGCGGAAAGTTCGGATTGGAGCCTCGGTTCGGATACGGATTTTTTCACCATCTCATGCCCACCCAGCAGTAGTAATGGGTACCTGACTTCGATTTGGGGGAGTAAAGATCGGGTGGAAAGGAACAGGCTACCCTACCACAATATGCCGAAGACCCAGGGAGCTGTCTCACTAACAAGCAATCCCCAATATCAGAATCGGGGACTACTTTACATGGTGCGGTGGAATCAGGCGCTCGTCAATTTTGGGGCATGTGGAGTTACTGGTATCAATTTAAAGCATGTTCATTTGGCTTGCATTCGATTTACGAAATTCCTGCCTATCTTGAATAGAAGTCGAGATATTTGCTGCTGAAGGAGGTCAGGACAGCCTGGTTTTAGCGGTAAAATAAGCGAAAAAATGGCCGTCAAAGTTTGGTGACTTCCATAGCTTGAGAGTCGTTGGAAACTGAAAATGTACATTCTTTGTGTCGGTAAGCAACATTTTTCAGTAAAATCCGCAAAGAAATGTATTATTAAATGGACACAAAAGAAGTTTAGCCAAAAAACAAAAAATTTAATTTAAAAAATGGCGGAAAATGACGGTTTTTCTATTTCATTATTCTGACGTGGGCCTGATTTCGCCACGATGCCTCACAATTTCCGGCTGTACTTCTTCCCTCAGACCTCGGCTCCTCCAATTCTCCAGCACTCCAACTGGATCCTGCTCCTCCTGGGCGGTGCGCAGGCTGGCGTGAGTAGCGTAGGGAATGGCATTCTTCAAGAGGACGTGTTTACCACTCACGAGGAAGACGAAGGGGGGCTGGTCGGAGAGCCAAGGGCCCTGGAAGCCACGCGGTACTCACAGGTTTTAAATGGTCACGTGACGGTTGTGGACGTGCCGGGCCTGAAGGTTCATACGACCGACTTTGGGGGGACAGTCTCGGCTCGGTATGAGAGAAGCCTCAAAGCTGGCTTTGATAAATGCGAAGGGGGCTTTCACGCTCTGATCTACACGCTCCCGTTTTCAACTCGGCTCTCGGATGAAGATAAAACTATCATCAGCTACATTAAAGGGCTTTTAGGAAGTTCTGTGTTTAAAGACTTCGGGGTTATTGTGATCACCAAAGATAACTTAAATTCAAATTATAGGAAAGACAAAAGTTTCAAGCGTTGGTGCCAGGAACGGCAAGGTAGTCTTTTAGAGTTCTTTCAGGAGTGTAACTTCCGATGTGTCTTGGCTGACAAAACGACAAGAGCTGCAACGCCAGCGAGTACCTTGTTCAAGAATGTCATGGAATATGTGATGGACTTGCAGGCAGTAGAGAAACGATACAACATGAGATCTCTCCATGGGGGGAATTCTGTACACAGTGATCTTCTCCGCAAGTTCTCTGACATGATACTCAGGTATCACTCAGTGAAACTCATGCGGAGAAACAATGAGCAAAAGAACGAATTTCAAGAGTTAAAACGTGTCGCTGAAGACCTGAACAACGAAGCGCGATCTTTGCATAATATGACGTCACAGCTGCGCACGGTGGTCAAGGCAATAGACAACTTCACAGAGATACTGGACAATGAGATCTCCAGGCTAGATGACAACAGTGTCAAGGACGCTGGTTAGTACATATGTGTTTACTGTAATTTGATCCACGTGTTTTGATAAACCGATTCTTTACCCTTTGTGTAATTTTTAATATCTTTTTCTTTGGGGGGGGGGGGGGTTATTTATTTCGAACAGTTCACCCTTTGATTTTTTTGGTGTTCTACTATGTTTTACATTATTTATGAATTATTGTGTTGGTTTTGCTTTTGGTAGTTTCCATGCCTTTTTGAAGGTTTATCGTGTTTATGTTGAGGATCTTGGGTTTGCTGTTGTTGTTATTTTTCTTTGGGTTTTTTTTTATGAGATCTATTATTATTCTTTCGATTTCTGATTTGTAATGCATTAAGTAAGCCTTGTTTCAGAATCAGAGGCATAATATAATCAAATTAGCCTTTTGATAGTCCCCGGAAAATGGTTTGAATTGTTTAATTTTGATGATTAACCAACAGGTTTATGCAATGATATGCTCTGTGGTTTTATCTAAACTATTCTTAAATTATGTTTGGGGGGGGGGGAGGCGCTATTTTAAAATACAGTTAAACTTTACAAGACGACCACTGTTGTGGAGAAAAGTGATAGTCATAGACAGGCGGTCTTCTTGGACAGAGTCACTGTGATGTAGAAAAAGCAATACAAGGGGGGGGGGGTGGCAAGTGATCCTTTGTACGGGTTATTGTCTTGGATAGTTGTGGTTAGAGCAGATTCGACTGTAATTCATCAGGCTTAGCGTCTCTGCTTTAAGGGTTTTACTTCTAGCCTTGCTGGTACAAGATGTGAGATCTATTCCCATCGAAGGGTAGGGGGGGGTGAGAAAGAGCCAGCCAGACAGACAGACAGACCGACTGACTGACACACACAGACAGACAGACAGACAGACAGACAGACAGACAGCAGGCAAACAGACAGACAGACAGACAGACTGACTGACTGACACACACACACACACACACACACAGACAGACAGACAGACAGACAGACAGACAGACAGACAGACAGTCAGGCAGGCAGGCAGGCACACACACTGACACACAGACACACAAACACGCAGATATATAGGCAAACTGGCAAGCAGACAGATACTTTATCCAGCATCTGTATCCTTCAAAGGGTTATGTAGTGCGTACCTTATACAGTGATGTGAGTTGGCTCTTACTGATAGGTTTGTTACAGCCCGTTCCTTCAACAATTATAGTGAATAATGCAGTAATTGGAAGAGGAGGGGGGCGGGGAGGGAGAGCCGAGATGGATTCCGTAACGAGCGACCCCGATGAAACAGCAGAAAAGAGAGTTAGGGTTAGGGTCAGGGTTTGGGATAGGGCGAGGGTTTGGAGTAAAGGTAGGGGCAGAGTTTGGGGTCGGGTTCTTGGCAAGAGGTAGGGGTAGGGGTACGGGTAGTGTAAGGGTTATGTATAGGAGTAGGGGTAAGGATTCGGTCAGGGATTTAGTCTCTTCTTTATTGTGTTTGTTGCGGTGGTCGTTCTTTATGGCATAAACACCGTGTTGTTTTTTACACCAATACCGAAGTCGGCAACTATAGTGCGATCAAAAATTCGTCACGCAACTTATTGTCAAATATCTCCTCGACTATCGAAAGTAAACTCCCCAGCTTTTGCACAGTGACTTGTATCATTTTGTCCTAACAGATCAACATTTTTTAACCACCTGTTAGCTCTCTTCTAAAAATACTATTTAAAAATCCAAGTGGGTGGTTTCTAGATATTTTAAAAGGTTTACAGCTGGGACACTATCGCTTTCAAAAGTAAGTCCGTCTTGTTTTTCTAATAGCGTGATTATATTTAACTAGCTAGACCCCCTTCCGATGAAAGGAATGATCGGTGCATTAACATCAACTGAAAGTCATTGGGCTACTATTTACATTCTAATGGAATGGATCAATAAATCTTGAGAGAAAAGTGACACATGTCACGTGTTTTCAAGTTGCCAAATATATTATTGGCGTATAGATTGATTCTCTCTCTATTCCGCTTTTGTGGTTGCGCACTCCATAATTTCAAAAGTGTGGAACACTGCGCACGAGCTAGTGAACGGAAACCTCACTAGTTTACAATGGCATCTTAGAAGACGGACTTTCCCAAGATTAGATCTAAACGAAACTAATAAAAAAAAACCTGAAAATTAAACTACAGTGACTTCAGGCTCCTCAATGAAACTGTGCACCCTTTAAATGATTCTGAATCGCAATTTATTTTGGCAAATTCGAAAGTCAAGTGCTTCGGAGGTTTTAGGCGGCGAAAGTGACGAATTTTCACGAATATAATATGTATAGATGAACGCATGCTTTGAGAATTTTATTGCCAAAAAAGTGTTCACTATAAAATTCATTTCTTGTAATTAGTTTTGCCACTAACAAGTGCCATTGGTGAGTTGTAACGGAGGCCATATGCGTACATAAAATGTGTGTGAAAAGCGGGAAGTGCTGTGAACAATTCCATTTTCCGCGTGACAGAGATTTATAGAATTGTATATAAATTTATGAAGAAAAGTCTTTAATCTAGCCTTAATTGTTGTGAAAAATGATGATATAGTTAAGACAAAGTGATACAAACCACTGTGCAAATTATGGATGACATTGATTCACCAGTTAAAAAGATATTTGAGGATAAGTTGCGCCACAAAGTTTTGACCGCACTTTAACCAAAGATCGTACATAACAAATTGTTCCCTCCTCTCTTTGAGCTAATTAAAAAGTGTCGTCAACATCTGGTGGCGCCCTTTTCGAAAAAGCGCGGATTTTGCGAACAGGGTTACCCTGCTTGTGTGAAAAACAATAAAAGCGAAACTAACAAGCTGTGCTATTCCTATTCTTCTTCTGAACAAACGAAAGAGAGCTTCAAAACATAGACTGCAGCGCCATCTGAAGCAATGCGCGGACTTTCGCGGACACTTTTTGGCCGAGTGAACTATCTGGTTATGAAGGATCTTCGCTTTAACTAGAAGGACTTTTTTTCTCAGCTCGTATACAAGACATGGAGAAAGAGCTGAGCATGTATGTTGAGCTTGTCACTGGTCATGTGGCGGAAAACTCCAAGCTGCAAGAGCAAATTGGTGAGTATCTCTATGTTGATGTTTTACTCGACTTCTATGTTGATATTTTACCCTATAGTACCTCTATGTTGATATTTTACTCTTTAGTATCTCTACGTTGATATTTTATTCTTTAGTATCTCTATGTTGATATTTTACACAGTAATTTACTAATTATATCCCAAAGCTAATATTTTACTCAACGGCGTCTTAAAATCAAACGAAAGTTCTGAGATTTTTCAACAGCTACAGGTTGTGAATCAAAAAGTCAGTTTTTGTTTACTTTCCTTTTCCATTTAGTCACTCGTATCTATCTATCTATCTATCTATCTATCTATCTATCTATCTATCTATCTATCTATCTATCTATCTATCTATCTATCTATCTATCTATCTATCTAGC